TTTGTGTGGACATCCAGGCAGTTCCCCAAAGAGATCAGCAGGTAGGGCAATGAGTCCGTAACTGTGGTAATCAATTCAAGAAGCCGGTCAAAGCCTCTGTCAAACCCCAGGGGAATTCATCATTGCCCCATGAAGGAGAGAGCAGGGCTTTGCCAGCCGGGAGCTGTTAGGCAGCCACCGACTAAATGTGGAAGAGATGAGATCTGTCTGGCTTGGGACGGGTGGGAGGGGCAAAGATGCCAGCTTCTCGGTAGAGCTACCCAAAAGTGAAAGGGGCTGCCTCAGGAAACGAGAGACATCCTCTCCTAAGTAAGTCCAAAGCCTGCTTGCTGAGAGGGTCAGGAAGGGAGCATTTCTGGAAGAAATCCGAATAAACGTCAGTTTGAGGAGAAACAGACTCTGAAATCAAATATTGTGGTGAAGCCCTTGGAGAAAACAAACCCTGAGAAGATGTTAGCAAAGGCAGACAGGGCTGCAGGGCATTGCCTTCCATACACCATCCTTTGGGTGTGACTACACTCATTGTTGTAAAGGATATGGCTGATGAACAATGAATAAAATACCAATTTGAGGACTATTGGGAGAGTCCATAAGGACCATCAGGGTCCCGTCTGACAGGCAGACAGGCCATGGATGATGCAGTGTCTCAAAAGTCTTAGTGCAATTGGAAGCTGTTATAGCTTAGAGGTGGGGCTGAGGAACAGTCGGTACAGTGTAATCCAATAAACATTTATTAAGCACCTGGGCCAGAGTTGGAGCTAAATGTTAGGGACATAAATGAGAAAGAGTCCCTGTCATTAAGAAGCTTAAATCTAATGGGGAAAGACCACCCACAAAAGGAAGCTAAAAGAGGAGCCTGGGTGCATGAGGGCGATTGGTGGAAAATGAAGGGTTCCTTTGGGGCAGCTAGGTGGCCAGTGGGTGTGCCAAGACCTCCAGTGCTTGGCATGGAATCAGAAAGACCTAAGTTCAAATCAGACATGTACTAGCTGTGGGACCCTGAGCAAGTCACTTCACCCGTTTGCCTCAATGTCCTCATCTGTCAAAAGAGCTGGAGAAGGCAATGGCAAACCCCTCCAGTATCTTTGCCAAGAGAACCCCAAATGGGGTCACAGAAAGTGGGGTATGACAAAATGACAACACCATGGCCTCTGAGCCCTCTTTAAATGGGGGCTTTGAGAGGAGCTTTTTGCTCAGCCCCTTAATCAGAGGGGCAGAGGCTACTGGTGAGGTGTGACCAGCAAAGCTGATGCAATCTCCTTGATGAGTTTTCTGGAGTCACAGAAGCCACCTAGCAAGTGAGGCTTTGCATGGCTATGTCTACTGCACGTTTTGTTATTGTGGTCACAGCTATTTGCTGTGGATGTCACTCTTAGGTGAACCCCTGTGATGCTATTTTGATATCCTTTGCCCTGTGGTCCAGTGGCTGTGAGCTCCAGGAGAGAAGGGATGGACTGTCTTTTGCCTTTCTTTGTAGTCCCAGTGTTTAGCACAATGCCTGGCATACAGTGAGTGTTTAATAAATGCTCCTGGCCTCGTTATAGGCGGATGTGTATTTGGTGCTGTATTGTATAACACAGGTTTTTTGCAGCTGATTTTGCAAGGGACTACAAAATCCCAAACCCAGGGAAGAATGTTATAGTCCTGTCAAGACTTGGACTGGCTACTTTACTGAGGACTCTAAGTAGCTAAAGAACCTGGGAATTATTTCTTTTTTTATAATTTATTTAAGTTTTTGACATTGACTTCCATAAGATTTTGAGTTTTAAACTTTCTCCTCCTTCCTCTCCTCCCCCCTCCCCAAGACAGCATGCAATCTTATATAGGCTCTACTTATACATTCATATTAAGCCTATTTTCCCATTAGTCACAATGTAAAGAATTAGAATCAATGAGAGGAACCATGAGAATGAAGCAATAAAACAAAACTACAAAAGAAAAGGAGAGGAAATAGTATGCTTCCATCTGTATTTAGATTCCATAGTTCTGTCTCTGGATGTGGATGGCATTTTCCATTATGAGGCCTTTGGAGATGTCTTAGATCCTTGTACTGCTGAGAAGGGCCAAGCCTATGAAAGCCTATCATCGCACAGTGTGGCTGTTACTGTGTACGACGTTCTCCTGGTTCTGCTCACTTCACTCAGCATCAGACCATCCAAGTCTTTCCAGGTTTTTCTGAAGTCAGCCTGCTCATCATTTCTTAGAGCACAATAGTATTCCTTTACATTCGTAGACCACAACTTGTTCAGCCATTCCCCAATGGATGGGCATCTCCTCAATTCTGGAAATGATTTCTTCCCAGCTCAGGTGACTGAGTGCTTCCCTGGCCTCCTTCAAGTCTCAGTTAAAATCCTACATCTACAGGAAGCCTGTCCCATCCCTTCTTGATTCTAGTGCCCTCCCTCTGTGAATGATTTCCTATTTATCTTGTATGTAGCTCGTGTGTACCTATTCGTTTGCATGTTGCCTCTCCCGTTAGATTGTAAGCTCCTTGAAGGCAGGGACTTTCTTTTGACGTTTTGTTTTATATCCTCCAACTCTTAGCACAATGCCTAGCACATAGCAGGAGCTTAATAAATGTTTATTGATTGATGCATTGTGGGGAACTCAGAGAAAATGGCAGTCCTCATCCCTGCCTCGGGCCTTACTTAGCTTGTTATGACCTGTACCCATTTCTGTTTGTTTGGTTTTTTTAAATTTTTTTTTATTCTTTAAAAGACTGCATCTGGCTGATCTAGTTTTCTTTCTCCTAATAAACACCTGCGGATGATCCTTTCCTGTGCATTTCCTCATGGCCCTTTGTCCACCCCAAGAGGGCACAGGCTATCTGGGAGCAGTGTCCTTTCTATTATTTTTTTTTTATTTTTAGGCAATTGGGGCTAAGTGACTTACCCAAGGTCACACAGCTAGTAAGTGTCAAGTGTTTGCTCTGAGCTCGGATTTGAACTCAGGTTCTCCTGGCTTCTGGCGCCACCTAGCTGCCCCTCAAAGTGTCCTTTCTTAGGCTAGGCTGGGAAACCAGTCCCCCAGGCCATTGTTAGACTGCCTTCTCTTTCCAACTCGGGGCATAATCACAAACTTTCAAACTTCTCTAACTACACATCCAAGGACAGAATTACTATCAATCTGGAGGCTTCATTCTGTCCTATCAGTCCCTAAGCCTAACCTGTTGTAAGTACACACTTAAGAGTTATATATAAAATAGATTTGATGAATTGAGAAAGAGCACACTGGCATTTGGAATAATAATAGCCAAGCACTTAATGAAGCTATTTGAGGTTTGCAAAGCACTTTACCTACAGGTGTTTTCATTTTCATCCTCACAACAAACCAGGGAGGTAGGTGCTATTATGACCCTCATTTAACAGATGGGGGAAACTGAGACAAAGGTCAAGGGACTTGCTCAGGGTCACACAGCTAGTAGGTGCCTGAGGCTAGATTTGAACTTGGATCTTCCTGAATCCAGAATCAGGCAAAGGTTAATGTAGAAGATGGTGCCTGAACTTGGCCTTGAAGGAATCCAGGCAGACGTGAAGTGGGCATGTATCCAAGCAAGTCCTGAGTGTTTGGTATGGTGAGGTCAACTTGACTGGACCACGAACACCTGACAGGGAGGAAAGTGTAACATAAGCCTGGACAGGTAGGTTGGGGCCTGAATGGTGAAGGGCTTTAAAAATGCTAGAGAGGAGTTTCAATTGGCTCCTAGACGGAAAGGGAGCCACTGACCTTTCTAGAGCCAGAGAATGACAGGGTCGGACCTGGGCTTTAGGAAAATCATTTCCTCAGCCTTGTAGAGGGGTGGGGGTGGGGTAGGTGGGATGAGAGAAAGAGAAGTGGATATGGGGGAGGGAGAGAATGAGAAAAGGAGAGAAAGAAGAGAAAGGGAAGGGGAGGGAGAGAATGAGAGGGACAGAAAGAAGAGAAGAGAAAGGGAGGGGGAGATAGGGAGAGAGAGAAGATGAGGGAGGGAAAGAAGGAAAGAGAGAGAGAAAGAGAGGGAGAGAAAGGGAGGGGAAGAGAAAGAAGAGAGAAGAGAGAGGGAAAGGGAGGGAGAGAATGAGAGGGAGAGAGAAAGAAGAGAAGAGAAAGGGAGAGGGAGGGAGATGGCGAGAGAGAAGGGGAGATGAGGGAGGGAAAGACGGAGAGAGGGAGAGAAAGAAGGAGGGAGAGAGAAAGAAGAGAGAGGGTAGGGGAGGGAGAGAATGAGAGGGAAAGAGAGAGGGAGAGAGAGAAAGAAGGGAGAAGAGAAAGGGTAGGGGAGGGAGGGAATGAGACGGAGAGAAAGAGAGGGAGAGAGAAAGGGGGAAAGGAGAGGTCGGGGGAGGGATGGATAGGAGAAAGGGAGAAGGGGAGGCGGAGGGAAAGATTTAGAGAGGGAGAGGAGAGAGAGACAGAGAGAGACAAAGACAGAGAGACAGAGGCAGAGACGGAGAGAGACAGGATCGGGGAGAGCACAGGGAGAAAGACCGCTCTCGAGAGTACATGAGCCACACGCGGTCGGATGTTTACGAATGAGTCCACGCGAGTCTATCCACACCGTGATCCAACTTACGGGGACCAGCCTGCGGGACGTCACGGGACTCGTAGTTCCCGAGCCTCTCGGTAGGGGACTCTGAGGACTACAAAGCGCACAGCATGCTGGGACTTGTAGTCCCCGCCCTCAACTCTTCGAGCAGAGCCTCGAGGTTGCCGGCAGAAGAAACCACTCTCATTGGCTCTCATCCACTGCCGGGGTGCTGCGGACCGCATCGCAAGAGGAAAAGATTGACCCAAGGAGGCTCCCGTCTCAGGCCGGGTGGAGATGATGACGACCGAGAGACGGTCCTCCGGGGAGACGCTCCTCCTTCCCCCGCCGAAGCCGCTCCTTCTTCTATTGGCAGGATAAGATGCCCATCCACAAAGAGGGGCCGGCCCCCAGCAGGATAGCGGCTTCCCATTGGTCAAAGGGGCGGAGGGCGGGCCGGAGTGGGGGAGGGGGGCGGGGACCGCTGCCGCCTCAGTCGCCGCCGCCTCTTCAGCCGAGAATCCCGCTCCGGCCCCCGGCCCCGGCCTGGCCCCGGCCCCGGCTCCGGCTCCGGCTCTCCTCCCGCTGCCGCCTCCGCTGTCGTCGCTGCTGCCGCCCCTGGCGCTGCTCGCTGCAGGTGACTCGCTCCGGGGCAGCGCTGCCCGGAGCCGCCGGCGCCTCGTCATGTCCACCGAGGACGAGCGGGCCCGGGAGATCCTGAGGGGCTTCAAGCTGTATCCGTCCGCGAGGGACGGCCCGGGCAGGGTCTGGGGCTGGGGGGACCCCGGGCAGGGGGCGGCCGGGGGCCTCGAGCTGGGGGGACGAGCTGGGGGATGAGGGGCGGGGACCCCGCGAGAGGGGACCCCTGACCGAGGACAGGGGGGGCCAGGGACCCGTGGGCTGCGAGGGGGCAGAGGGAGCTGGGGCTCCTCGGTGGGCCGGGCTGCCTTTGCCTGGGAGCATGGGGGAGGAAGCGGGGGCTCACCTAGAAAGTCGGGGTTCTGGGAGAGGGGGGCGAGAGAGGGACCCCAGGACCATCGGGAGAGGGGGAGGGGTCCCTGCGGGACTAGCGAGTGTCACGGAGAGGAGGGAGGGGCCGGCTCCAAGGAGCTGGGTGCGCCAGGGATGGCGCCCCGCGGGGGGCGACCTTTAGCCCCCACCCTGTGCTGGGGCCGCCTTTCACGTTGGCATTCAGTGAGGGTCCGCCTTCGTCTCGCCTTTACCAGCTCTCATTAATCCGGTGCTGGAGGGGAAGAGACTGAAAGGTTGAATAAGCCAGGCTGATTGTGGCTGTGCTGCTCCTCGGATGGTCTAGTCCCAAAGTTGTTTGCTTTCCCTTCCAGTCACCACAGTAAGGCTCATGTGGCGCTTGTAGACCCTCTGGTCGCGAGGTTGGACCTGGTGGTGTTGGACAGTGCCCCTTGTTTATTTCTTGCCTTCTTTTGGGCTTGATGCACCGCCTGGCATCTCCTTGAGGGAGAGGTAAAACATAGGAAGTGTTTCTCTTGTAATTTTATTGTGCTTTGCTTTTGTAATCTTTTCCCAGTTTTGTAGTACAAAGAAGCTTTGTTACACACATTATTTTGTTTCCAATGCAGTGTTAATTTATAAAGACTCTAATGCAAATCGAAAAAGAATGTAATCTTTTCATACTTACTTTTACTTCGTCTTTATTCATTTCTTCTACCTTGTTCTTGCTAACTCTGCTATCTTAAAGTTTTCTTTCAGGGCCTACTTGCCCAAAACAAATAAATCAATAAAGATAAAAAAGACTATTTCTGAAAGTGGCTCTAGCAGTTAAACATAGTCATTACCGTAGGGCTAACCACAAGGTACTGGCTACACCTTCCTCTCCAGAGTTTTGGGGATGTAGGGAATGCTTTCTCAGCAGTCTTTTATAGTTTCAGAAAGCTTATTTTTTCCTCTGTCTATGTCATTTTGTCAGTAGCAGTTTATAGAATGCAGAATACCAAAAAGGCGCAAGAAGCTTTGTGGGTGAGACCGGAAATATAAGGAGGACAGATGTACTTTGTTTTTGCTTCTTTTTGTGAAAATGCCCCATCAGTTTACTTCCCTCTTATGAAAAACTTTCAGCCTTGTATAGTCAGGGCTGGTAACTTAGCTTTACCACTTCTTACATAGTTTAACGTACTGTTACTGTACTTTTCTCTGAATTGGATTCCAAAAAATAATCACCATGCTCCTATAAAGGGATAGAGTTTTACTGGTGGACAGTGGCATGCTTTTATTTTTTCCACTCCCAGGACTATGGATTGTTTCTTCCCATTTTCCCCCAGTAATACTGGGCTTGGTCATTTAACATGTATGCAGCTTTCAGGAAAGAGGTAACCACTTATTGGCGGTGCCTTCCGTAATGTAGTGAGCAGTTTAACTTTTGTCTTGTTCAAATTAATCTGTTGCTAGAAATCAGAAAGTATCTGTTGATGGTGTATGAGCACAGCAGGAAGTGGGCACCACCTTTTCCTCTGTCAAGCATTGTTCTTGAGAAGATTGAAGAATAAGTAGCTAAGATACAAATGGAGGGGTTGGTAAGGCTTCAGAACCTGTGACAGTCTTCTAAGTAAGAAAGTGAATTCATCAATCCGGGAATGACATGTATGTGCTGGGACACAACCTTGCCAGGAGACTGGAGCCTGTGCTGAACAAATTCAAGGAAAGTTAATATAGGGAAAAAATCACAGGAGCAATTGATCAGATCCCCTCCAGTTGTATTCCTTTGGTTAGTAACGCCTGGTATGTGAGGGCCGAAGATGAAAAACTAGGAAGTTGCTTTTAGGTGAAAATAAGATTGGTCTAAGTTTTGGTAGCTTGAAGAGAACTGCCTCAAGATCCTTTTGTATGCTTTTCTTAGAGATTTAACATGACATCCTGTTAGGCTGAGAGTAATGGTAATGTAGAATTTCCCCACGCTTGTACAACCTCCCTCCCCTTGGCTTCGCTGCTTCTTCTCTCTCTTGGATCTCCTCCTACCTCTTTTATCCTTCCTTCTCAGATTTCCTCTGCAGGATCATCATCTTTCTCCTGCTCCTGTATGTGAGGCCCCCTGGGCTTTGACCTGGGCCCTGTTCTCTTTTCTCCCACTTGTGATATTATCAGCTGCCATGGGTTCAATTATCATCTCTTTGCTGATGGCTCCCTAATCTAGATATCTAGTTCTAATCTCTTTCCTGAACTTCAACCCTGCATTGCTCAGTGCTTGCTTGTTAGAATGTCCAAAATGGAACCTATTCTCGAACTCGTTTGTTCTTCCTCCAGACCTTCCTGATCCTGTTGAGTGTACCAATATCCTTCTAGTCACCTAGGTTTACAGTCTTGTAGTCATTCTTTTTTAAAAAATAAATATATTTATACTGATGTACTTTGTTTTTATGTATCATCAGAATTTTCCCTACTATCCCTTTCTCTCCACCTTCCAGAAAGCCATCTCATATACCAAATAGTATTTTTAATAGACAAAAAAAGGGGAAAATCAGCACAACCAACCAATACGTCAAAAAGAAGGTGCAAAAGCTTGTACCATGTATAATGTGTATGGCCTTCCCACCTTCACAAAGCGATGGGTTTGGAATCTTCTCTTGAATCTCTTCATTCAAGTCATACTTGGTCTTTATGATTTTGCTACATTCACCTTTGCTTTTGTGTATGCCTGTGGTTCTTTCTGTTAACATTGTCGTTACTGTGTATATTGTTTTCTTGGCTCTGCTTACCTCATTCTGGCTCAGTTCGTGCAGCTCTGACCATGCTTCTCTGTATTTATCACATATATCATTTCTTACAGCACAGGAGTATTCCTTTACATTCACGTGCCACAATTGGTTTAGTCATTCCTCAGTCAATGGGCATCTCCCTTGTTTCCAAGCCTTTGCTGTCACAAAAAGTGCTGCTGTCAACATTTTGGTGTGTATCAGTGGATTCCTAGGGGGTTAAGCCCAATAAGAGAGTCTTGGGGTCAAAGGGTTTAGACAGTTGGAGTCAGGAGTCATTCTTGATTCTTTTCTCTCTAACCTTCTATATTCAGTTAGTCGTCCAGTCATGTAGACTCTCCTTTCGCAACATCTGTCCCATCAGGCTTCCTTTGTGCAGCTCCTATCTTAGATCTCATCAGCTTTCACTTGTACTGTTGGCCTTCTGATGGGTCATCCTGCTTCCCGTGTCCCCTCTAAAGTCCATCCTCCACAGAGCTGCCAAATTGATAGTCTGAAACCATAGACCTAATCTGGTCATTCTTTTATTCAGAAATCTTCGTTCATTCCCTGTTGCCTCTAGGATAAAATTCAAAACCCTTAGCCTGGCATTAAAGCACTCCACAATATGAATCCCAGCTACCTTGTCAGTCCTGTTTTTCATTACTCTCCTTTACACACTCAAGGGTTCCAGTCATGGTGGCCTACTAGCTATTCCTTGGTAAGGACATTGTACTTTCTGCCTCCATTGAGGTGCCAGGAGTGCAAACCCTTCTCACCTCTGCCACTTAAAATCCAGAGCTTCCTATGAAGTCCGCTTCCTCCATGTGGCCCTTCTTGGGCTTTCCCCAGTTGGTAGTACCCTCTCACACCTAAAATTACTGTGTGTTTATTTCATAGTTACTTATTCCTGTATGTGTTGCACCCCCTCCTCAGGAGATTCTAAACTACTTAAAGCATAAATGCTTTCCGCCACAGGACCTTGTGTATAATAGATGGTTGATACATTTTTTAAGCATTTTTAATAATCAAAATATAAATTAGTCAATTTAATTAAATTACTTGGCAAGATTTTCTAAGCATGGTATCTTTGACCAGACGACCTTCCACTCATGATGTCCTTTTTTTTTTTATTAGGCATTCAATAAATATGTATTGTTAATTTGTTGTTCGGTCGTTTTCAGTTGTGTCCAACTCTTCATGACCGTATTTGAGGTTTTCTTGGCAAAGATACTACAATGGTTTGCCATTTCCTTCTCTAGCTCATTTTACAGATGAGGAAACTGGGGCAAACAGGGTTAAGTGACTTGCCTAGGGTCACATAGATAAGTGAGGGTCTGAGGCTGGATTTGAACTCAGGAAATGAGTCTTCCTGACTCCACACCTGACACTATCCACTTCGCCACCTGTTTGCTTGTTGTTTAATGATACTCCCAAATACTAAATAAATGCTTTTCAACTTAATGTCTGGATTCTCTTGGCCAAGAAAAAGATAACAAAAAAACCCCCAAACCTTTCCATTCCTTCCTAAGTTACAGCTTTGAATGTCTTCAGTCCCTTTAGTTTTAGACTATACCTATCTGCTTAGGTGTGGAGGGAAGTTCGGGAAATACGGACTCAGCGTTTAGGCAGGTTTCTTGAGTTTATCAAAAGATAGCTGCGTATGCTTCATAAGGAATAGTGCCAGGGAGTGCCAGGGAAAGAGAAGGGCTCGCTGAGGAAGCAAAGGCTCAGACTTCCATTGGCCCATTGGGGATGGCAGCCCAGGGATGGTCTGGAGTAGGTGGTGTGTGAAGGTGCTTCTGGCACCCAGGGATTGTGATTCTGTGAGGTGAAGCTTTCTTGGGCTAGGTCAAGGTTAAGGTCTAGAGGCTGGGAGGAGCCGCTTCAGCAGCACAGGCACTCAAATGGAAATGAGACAGAAGGTCCTGTGGCCCCTGTGCAGGATGGCAGGATGACATGAATTCTGCGTTGTTTGCCTTTTGTAAATGACAGAGGAAAGAAAAGAGGCAGGGTGCAGTAACTTGGTA